TTATTCTAGTTAATGAAAAGACCATACTTGGCTCTTATTACCAGTAGCTAGAACATTGCTGCTACTAGCTAGTGTGGTTAGTTTTACTGCGGAGTTCACTGCTGTCCTTCTTCAGATTTCTGGAAGTTAGGTGCTGGTTAATCTCATCACGGAGCTCATTCTCTTCCTTTGTCAGTCTATCCAGACGTGCTAGGAGCAGCCAACCAGCAGCAGCGTTTTCCTTACTCTTCCACAAATTGTCGGAAGCTTTATACACAGACTCACCAAATCCGTTGCTTCTCACACATGGTGGATCAGGATAATCAGATTCATTTGTCTCCTGAAGTTTGTAAAACAGTTCACACCATGAGCTCTCAGTACTCTCCAAGTTCCCAGGGGAGGCTTCAGTAACTTAGGTCTAAGTTGGCAAAGCGCAAAGCCCATTCCAGATGTTTAAAAAATCCATCCTCACACTTCTGCTGCTCTAGAACCACTTCTGTTACCCAAATCTGTGATTAGTCAGGGTTCTCTAGAGGAACAGAACCTACAGAGCGAATCTATGTATGCGTATATACAGAGTGGCTTACAGGCCATTGTCCAGCAAGGCCAACAAGGCTGTTTACCAATGGAAGGTCCATGAATCCAGTAGTTGTTCAGCCCTTGAGGTTGGATGTCTCTGCTGGCCTAATGCCAGCGAAGGAATCGACTTGCTAGGGAGTGGAAGCTGGCAAAGAGCAAGAAAGCTTCCTTCTTCCAAGTCCTCTAGAGGCTGCCAGCAGAAGGTGTGGCTCAGATTAAAGATGGATTTTCCCACTCAAAGATCTGGATTAGAAGTGGATTAGAAATCCTCCTACTTCAAATGATTTAATTAAGAAAAAAGATTCCCTCACAGGTGTACCCAGACATTTGGGTTTTAGTTAATTCCAGATGTAGTCAAGTTGGCAACCAGGAATAGGCCATCACACCAGGGTAGCAAGCATTCTGGCATGTGGAAAAACAGCATGTGCAAATCTGTGTGGTAGAGTTTGGTTGAGGTCCCTCCTTCAGGACGGCATTATGTCATCTGGAAGTGTTTACTTAAGCTCCCCTGGGCTGCCTCCATGGCAGCTGTGTGAAGTCACAGAGAAGTTGAACTGTCTGGGGCCCGATAACAAACTGTGTTACTGCAGTGTGAGTGCCGTGTGCATTAAAGACATCCCTGCTAGAGGAGACTTTAAAAACAAAAGGACTTCAAAAAAATCATTAAGTGATCCACAAAGGGCTCATAAATATGTATTTGTCCACTATATGTATATACTTGATTTCTTAAAGATCTACTTTTATTATTTTTAATTATATTTTGTGTGTGCGCACGCACGCATGCACGTGCATGTAAGTGCCACAGAGGCCAGAGGTATCAGATGTCCTTGGAATAGGAGTGGCAGACAATTCTGAGTTTTCCCAGCAAAGGTGCTGAGAAGCAAACTCCAGTGCTCTGGAAGAATCGTACATGCTCTTAACAGTTGAGCCATCTCTCCAGCCCCTGGATGTACTTACTTAAAAATGTACATATTATGAACTTATAGTGCTTTTGACTCATAAATATAATTATGCAACTATAAGAATATTTTTTATCTCTTTTAGAATATGAATTATAGTAGCCCAACCACTATTTCTATCTCTAAAAAGGAAGCATATTTAACCTAACACTAAAGACACATAAATAATAGAAGCTTAAAGTGAATTGTAAAAGATACCAGTTTCTAAAGGTTATGTGATTTACCTTGATTATTCACATAAAGGTGGTACTTTTAGTTCCCTAGACATAGTTAAGCCCATTTGCCAAGTAACGACCGATTTGAAAGAAAAACAACTCAGAATGTACTGTAAAAACGGGAGGAGTACATGCAACTCTTAGGATTTCTTTTCCACAAATAGTCTAAGTCTTTTCTGTCCATTTTGATTTTGAGACAGCTATATTCTGTCGTACATTCTGGCCTTGAACTCCTCTCAAATGGAGGCTGTTACAGGCACTAGACACCATGCTTGGCTCTTTGTGGTCTTATGAAAGGACCAACAGAGTTCTCTTTATTCTCAGACAGCAGGACTGATGTTATGGTAGCCAGGAACAAAGGACACCATCACTTTAATTTAGCTTCTTTAAAGCTCCAGACTTGCCCTAACCGTATTCCCAGAGTTCCTGGCTAACTAGATAGCCTCCTGGTCTTCTTAGCCTCCTCCTGGCTTTAGCCACCAGCTACATTTCAGAGACCACAGAGAGCCAGACTCCAGCACCCCTGGGAAAGTTTAAATGATGTGCTGCTTTTCCTGCCCTGAGGTCGGAGCCTCCTCTCCCACCCAGAGACCAGAGCCTGTGCAGCTCTTGCCATCAAAGCGCTAATGGCTTCTCTTGGAATCATCGTTCCAGTCCTCCTGTCTCTGGGCACACAGCAGAGGCTCCAGCACGGTCTTTCATTCTTTCGTAGCTCCCAGTTCTTTCACATTCCAGTTTTTAAGTCTCTAGGATCCTGACAAGGCACGTGACCACCGTTTCCAGTAAACACTTTCAGGTTTTTCCTTTCTAAAGGTTTTGAGCTGAGACATCACAATAGTTGACTCACAGAGTCACCCTTGGAAATTCTGTGCTAAATTTCGTTGATTTGTAGGAGAGGAAAAAAAAAAAACATCGCTTTTTTTTTCCTGTCAAGAGGATATCTGTTCACCCTGAAATGCTAAAAATAAAAATTTAGATTCAGGCACTAATACAAATTCCTCAGCATGATTACTCTGAATAACGAAGACCTGACCATCTATTTGTCCAGCTTTCTTCCTCCCACCATCCATACCCACATCTACCTAGCTGACTGCAGGCCCCAGTGTGCACTCTGCTTTGTTCTCTTAGGATGCTCTTTTTTATTCTTAGCTAACCTGACTTTGGCCACACAGGAAAACATCATCTTTCTTTCAAGAGACACGCCAGGTCACACTACTTATGGGGAGCTGTGCAGGCTAAGAGAGCTCACTCCACTCTTGCCTCTGGCTGGCAGCCTTACACTCTAGCATATGCCTTCTAGATTTCTAAAGCTGGGGCTGGAGAAGAGTGTGGGATGTAAGTATGAAAATCATGAAACCCAAACAAGCAATGCCTTGTGTGGCGTATTTACACACTCGTGAAGAAATGCAGGGTAGAATACACACGTTTCCGTTGCACTTTCTTGGAAGAAATTTGGTGATAAACATGAAAGGTATAATTCCACCAGGGCAGTCTTTTGATGCTAGATAAATGTCATGCACACCTTCCTGTTATAGAATATTGTGTAGGGTCATTGTTAGCATTTAGATTCCCCTGATTTCATTCTCTCCAATATGGGTATTCTATGCTTCAACTCTCTAGGAGAGCCACTGGGTCTTTACTCCTGGTTCAGTATCCTCCATCCAAAAGGCAGTTAATGGTCATGACAGTTTCCAAATTCTCCATTTACTCCGGAAAATTCTCCATTCACCTTGTTCTGAGTTGTCACCTGAACAGTGTCTTTTTTTTTTTTTTTTGAGACAGGTTCTGTAGCTCTGGCTGTCCTGGAACTCAACACATACACCAGGCTGGCATCGAACTCACAAAGATCCGCCTGCCTCTTGCCTTCCTAGTCCTGGGATTAAATGCCTGCGCCACCACCGCCTGACTACAACACATATTCTAAAAACCAAAGTTTTCTTTCGGAAGACTTAATTGTTGCTTCTTAACAGACAGAGATCTTTTCTGTAATTGGGCGGACTGATCCTAGCGAAGAGTATTTCCCTGTTCTTAACTCACCTACCTATAAATAGCGCTCACCGAGCTGAGTCACCAGAACCCAGAGTTTCCTCAAAATAGCTCTTAAGGACTGCTGGAATTGAGTCGCTCCACTGGTGAGGACTCTGACCACACACCCACCAAGCCGGGCTGTGGAGCCCAGCCACAGAATGGGTTCCTAACCACCTGGCGCCCAGAGGGCGAGTCCGGCGAGTGAGACCCTAGTTCCTCGGCCCTCTAAGTCTGGACTCAAGCTGCAGCTGGTGGCTAGACTCAGCCTTGACCGCACAGAGCCCTCCCCGCCCTGTAGGAGCAGGGAGCCGCAGGGGGCTGGCACCCGGCACCGCCCGCGCCCACTGAAAGCACAATGGGGCAAATCGAGGGGTCACCTGGCTCCAGCTTCAGACCCCCGCGCTGGCCTCCCAGTTGCTGCCAAACCACCTGATGACCTCAGACGACTACTCAACCCTCTTAGGGTGCCAGAAGCTGAGGAGCAGCCCTGGGGGAAAGAAAACGGAAGTGCCACCCCCTGCAGGCAGGGTGGTGACGTCACCCCTACAGCCAGCCTGTAGCGGGGGCGGCTGCCCGTCACGTGATCCACGCCCCTCCGAATCCCGCGCGCGCGCTCCCCCCTCCCCCCAGCCAGACTCCCACCTCTCCCGCCTCCTCTCCCCAACTTTCACCCTCCCAGTGCCCGCACGGCTGTCAACAGCGCCAGCTCCGCCCTCTTCCTTGACTCCGCGCCCCCGCCAAGGCGACTCAGCGGTCTCCCTAGCTCAGGTCCGGCCCCTGGAGCGCAGGGTGCCCCCTCTCCCACCCTGCCCCCAAACTCCGGGTTCGCAGGGTGCGTGGGCCCCAGAGTCCGGGGCGCGGTGGCAGCGGCAACAGAGCGCCTCACTGGTTCCTCCCTCCGAGGACCAGGCGGACCCTGCAGGTCTGCGCCCAAAGCGGAGCCAGAGGCACACACGGCCTCCTGGGAGCCCCCTCCCCTCACCCCGCGGCCCGCCCTGCACCCCCAGCCCTGCAAGCCGAGCTTCGTCTCTCCTGGGGGCCGTGCACAGATCGCCGCCTAGAGCCCCTCACTCATAACCCCCTCCCCGTGCGCGCTGCTGGGGTTACAGATTATTTTGGCTGTTCCTGCTGCGCCTCGTTCTATTTTCTGCGTCCCCCCCGCGCACGATTCCCTTCTAAAAGTGGAGGCTGGAGGAGGGAGAAAAAGAAGCCAGTGTTGAAAGGGGCGGCGCGCACTGACCTGTCAGCGGCGGAGGAAGACCCCTGGTCCGGGCGAGCTCTCCAGCCAGCGGGGGCACTGGAGCGCAGGGCTCGAGCGGAGCGGTAGCTGCGCTCGACCAGGTGTCCCCCTAGTCGGGTCTGCGCCGCCCCCTCCCTCGGCGTAGCGCTCCCCGCCCCAACGCCGGGGACCAGGGAACCCCCCAGCTCGATTTTTTGTGCAGTTTCAGCAAAGCTCCGAGGAAGTTGGTCCTTTTGTTCCACTATTTATAGATTGCGTCAACATTGCGAAAAGAAGAAGGCGGAGCGGTGGCCCCTCCCCCGCCCCTCGGCAGCCTCCCTGGAGAGAAAAGCCCCAGCACACGACCTAAGTACACAGCGCGCCAGCCGCCCGCCCCCGGCCTCCTGCTCGCCACGTCCCCCTCCCCCCCAGCTTGGGCCCGGGCGCTGCCAACCCCGTCACGTGCCCTCTCGGGAAAACCAGCTCCCCCGGGCTGTGCGCCTCCCGCTCCGTTCCGTGGCAGCGGCCTCCGCCCAGCTGCGCTCCCCAGCTCGTGGCTGGGGTCGCGAGCCCGGGTGGTGCGCACGACCTGGGTACGGGCACTCTCGCCACCCGACGGGGGATTCTCGCACGCACGCCTCGTGCGGAGTGGCCCCGAGCGTCCTGCGCGCTCTTGCGTCTCTACCCCCCTCGATCTCTGGGAGCGCCACCGCCCTGCTTGCAGAGTGCGCGCGCGTTTGGGCCTCGCCTGGGAGCCCACGGCCTGGACAAGTCCCTCTGCCCCCCTCGTGCGGCTGCTAGGCGTTGGGTGCTAGGCCTCGCTGCCCGCACTGGTGGCCAACAGGCGTGAGGGGTGCGGGGGCGGCTCGCCACCGCTCCCAGGCAAAAGCGCGGGGCGCGGGGAGCGCGGGAAGGACGTTCGCCCTCCGCAGGTGCAGCTAGCTTTGCGCTAGCTTTTTTCTTGCTTAAAAACGGCGGAGTTTGCAGACCCGATCCTTGACAAGGGGAATACAGTTATTGGGGACTTACTGTTCCGTCACAGGGGTGTTTGAGGCAAAGCATTAAAACTTGCCTTCCCTTCCTCCCCCCCCCCCAGGACGACGTGATAGGCCCCCTCCAAACCCCGAAGTGAAACTGAGCTCCCTGCTGGCCTAAAGCCTAGGCTGAGCTCGGTGTAAACAAGAAGGGCGGTAAACACACGAAAGGAAGGCCTCACAATAAAGGCAAACACAAGTGGCTGGTTTAAGCGTAATTAACTTCCGTGGCTTCTGGTCCTTTCCCGAAGTGGTTGTCTTAGAATGCAGTTGGACTTTTCGAGATGAGAATAAAATAAGGTAGCCACCAGATAGATCACTGGTTCAGGAAAACAGGCTGAGCTGAGATGAGGACAGGAAACGTGCCGGACCTTTCCTGGCAACTGGAGAGTGACGAACAATCTAGAAGGACCTCCCCCCACCCCAAGTTCGGGCCACCAGCTCTTGTGAGCGGGGCCCCAACACCCTGAGCGGAGATTCGAAGTTGAGTAGAGGGGCGGGTCCAAACCTGGCATCGCTTTCCCAAGAGCCAGTTGGGGATGCGATAGGTTTGCCTGGAGTAGGCAAACCTTTCCAGATTTAGGCCCGCTTTCTTTTCCTTTTTAAGGGAGACGACCTTAGATTCCAAGGATTAGAACGTGAGTGTCAAGCTGGTCGTGTGTGTGCTTGCTTAAAAAAGGAAGCGAGACAATATAAAGCGAACTTTTGTAGTGGTCGCTTCCTTTCCCAAGCTTGGAGCTGCAGGCCTGACAGGCTTTGGTCGCCCACTCCTGGCGGTCTGTAGAGTCAAGCGCTGAAGCGCATTTCCTTCCGTTGTCTTTGCAATTTATCCAGTGGCCCTAGCTGCTCACCTTCCCGCCTTTCTACCCCGATATGTTTTCAGCATTTGGAAAACAAACCTCTTAAGAAAGCAAATTCGTTTCTTTGACAGTTTGACGGCAGCAATATCTACAAACCACGTTTCTTTGCCTTTATTAAACAAGTCAGGGCCTCTTGATCCTTCCCACCCCTGCAAGAATCAGAGTTTGTCAAGGCACAGTCATGGTTCCGATCCCCTGTCCCCTGGCTAAGTCTCAGTGTCTCGGCTATTTTGTCAAAACACCCGCTTTCTTGTCCCACGTTGTTCTTTCGCGGTCTTCCCAGCCGCGGAGAAGGGGGAACGAAAGTAAAACGAAAGCACTCGGAGCGCGTCCGTCGCAGCCACTTCCCTCAGGGCGTTAGACGTAGGCCAGAGTGTGGGGTCACGAAGATTGGCCGAGGTGGGGGGTAGGCTGTTCCTGGAGGAAGCCCAGGAGTTGCCAGGATCTGTCCTGGGCTGCGAGGCTTCCCCCACCTCCGGAAAAGCAGACGTGGATACTATATCAATCTTGCTTGGGAAGTGGGGTCTGGGTCTTAAAGTCTGAAGACTGTTTGGGACCCTGCAGAAGTAAAGTAGGGTGGCACAGAAGCGAGTTTGGCTTCCTGTGGCAGAACCCTGCGGAGTCTTGGCTAGGAGAGCCAGAACTCGGCAAGGTCGCGCAAAGGCCTCTTGGGACGCAAGGCCCACGGAATTCTTGCTCCGCTGAAATTGGATAAGCACTCCGCCCACACGCAAACAACCAAAGTTCTACACAATTTAAAAGACTTAACGAAACTCGAGGGGGCATCCCTCGTCCCTCCTGGGAGTCTCTGCAGCCACAAAGGCGGCCTCGGCAGGTTTGAAAGAGGCGGGTGGGCGGCCTTACAGACTGCAAATTTTAGCAGTTAAGGGAAGGCGTCTTCACGAGGTGAAGGTAACCAAACACAACTGGTGTGCTCAGGAATGGCAGCTGGTGTCAATCCGGTCAGCTAAAACGCGTCCTCGCTTCCCCTTCTCTCCCCCCACCCCCACCACAGAGAACCAACCCAGACAGAGCCGCCTACAAGCCGCTCACACTGGCTTCACTCTAGCCCCACCCCCATACTCTCCTTAACTCACTTTCTTACTTTCCTTTATTATTTACTCTAACACCTTTGTTGTAGCAGTAGCTGTAGGTCCGGGCCAGTGCTAGGAAGAGCCTAAGTCAGTCGAAAGTGGAAACCGTTTTCTCGAGGGCTCAGTTGGCTCACCCACACCTGATGAAGGGCTTAGCAGACGGCCATTACCCCTCCAGCTGCTCGGAGGCGCTTTCGCACTGAGGTCATTCGCTCTGTAAAACCGGAGACAGGAGTCGTGTTTGTATCTGCATTGTTCAGACGAGGCTTCGCCAATAATTTATTTAACCACAGGACTCCAGAAATGGCCTTGCCTTTCAGAGCCGCGGAATGGAGTTCTCTAGGTCGAGCCTTGAGAAGGCAGAGTTGACTTCCAGCTGATGTTTTGTCATTCCAAGTGATGAGTTGGTTTTATTTCTACCCTCGTAACCACACTGGTAAATATCAGACAGCCCTAACTGTGAAAAGGGAAGGCCCACTCTACCCACATTTCTCTCCATATTGGTGAGGCAAGTTTCCCGTGAGATAGACCCTTAGGCTCTCATTTTTAGCCTTCCTTCATTTCTTAAAAATAAAATTACTCAGCAAAAGCTGGTTTTGACTCAAGAGATTATAAAAAAGGTCTGCGTTCACCAAGCTCGCTTTTTAGTTTCGTGTATGGCTACTTTTCTCACTCTCTTGCAAGTGACATTTTCGTGAACGGGTTCCCTAGGGTGTTGCAGCTAAAGCGGACGTCTGTAGTTATGAAGTTATGAAGTCTTCCTCCTGGGTTCCCTTTAAACAAACAGCACGCGTAAAAAAAAAAGCCCGTGTCTTTTTTTTTAAATTCAACACTGTCCGTTTTATAGTAAAAAATTACAACAAATGCTTTGACTGAGCTAAGATTAAGATTTAAACGCACAAACTTCTGTCCCTTTGTGTCATCGAATGCCCTATTCTCTGAGTTTGCCACTGGAGCCCGCATCAGAGACCTCGATGTGGAGTCCAGTTTGGAAGCAAATCCATGCCTCTCGAGGTGAAATGGGAGCATGCCCAAGCGATGGATCTGGCTTTAGATTTTATGAGGAATATGATCTGGAAAAGGGAACGCCTGTTTCAGCAGACTGCATGCTCTGTTCTAGTCCTCCTAGAATTCTTCCTGCAAACAGCGCGCCTGGCCTCGACCCACAGGGCCTCAGGCGACCTCTGGGCGCTGGGCTTTCAGTTAACCCCGTCGCGGCCTCAGCTGGGGTCGCTAGCCGCGGCTAACTTTTTAACCAAAGGAGAAAGTTTAAGGTTGTAGAAAGGGTGTCCTGAAAGGGACTGGAAAAAGGGAGAGTCTGCGGTTAGCGCCAAAACCTCGGACACCTCGCACTCACTACGAGGCGAAGAAAATTCCCGTGGGGGAAGCACTAGCGTTCCCGAAACTTTGCCAAACTCTCCACAGTCCTGGGGTAGCGTTCCCACGTCCGCCCACCACCGGGTTCTTTCGCAATCGAGCCTGTGTCTGGCGAGGACTTCTGCGTGGGCTAGGGGCTATGGAGAGGTGCAGTGGTCGAACCCTCAGTTTCCCGCCTGCTCAGCCCAGGAAACCCCGAAGCGGTTTAAAAAAGGCGCGGCGCAATGGGGCATGGGGAGGGTGACACGGTTCACTCGCTGTGGGGGTAGGGTTCGGGGGCGGGTGGGACCAGAGGGGAGCAAGCTGTGGTGGCAGGCAGTCCAGGGTTTCTGCTCTAGGGGGCTGCTTCCAAGAAAAACGCGGCGGGGAAAGGAAAGGAGCCGGCAGCAGGGAGCCCCTGAACCGGGTAAGGTCAGGAGAGTGCTCGGGCACCGGCTCGCGGCCCGGAGAGAAGAGACTCCCCCGTGGGCTTCCCCCGGAGTTGGGCTGGACCGGTGCCTAGCCCGGGGCACCGAGGTCGCCTAGTCGCCTTCAGAGCACAGCGGCTGTGCTTTGCCATTCAATGTGGAGGAGAGGGAGGCTCGTCGAAACTAGCACCCCTTGTCTCGAGGTCCTTTGCTCCTCGGAGAGGGAAAAGGGGTCTTGGCAACCAGGAGAAGCTCAGCTGAAAACGACCTAGAGTTTTCAAGTTTGTAAAGTGACCGTAGAATCTTGAAAATCTCAGAAAACTACGCCCATTTCCCCTTCCAGGAGAAAACCAAAGCAAACCTAACGTCAGCCCTCCGGGGTGGCACACGAACTTTGCGTTCCCACCCCGCCTGCCCCTGCGGGCCCCGGGGCGATACTTCTAGGGTAGCCGGCTGTAGGGTACGCGCGTGGGGCTCAGGGCCGGTCACCGCCAGGGAATCACCGTAGGAAATGCTTCCTCAGGTTTTCCATCACCCAGTCAAAACATTTGGTTGAATCTGGAGATAACTTTTTTGGTAGTCCAGAAGAAACAAC